ATAGATATATGGATGTCAACGGTGCGGGGAAAGTACCGACTCAGATACTCATACAACATTGATACTTTATCAATCTGATAAAATAGAAATTATAGAATATAAAACTACATTTGTAGTGTGTCAATGCTACATAGGCCATAGGCAGTAAGTACCCCTGTAGCATTGACACCTCTGGAAAATGTGTGTATGTGTCTATGTCAGACACTAACACCGGTACTTTGTGATTACTTTCAGCATTTTTATTATTTCTAATTATTATCAGTGTCAACGTGTTAGTGTTGTGTCCGTGCTCAGTAAGTTCTATACTAAAACTCGTCCAGTCATACCCGAGAAATCAAATGAAATTGATCATACAATAATTCAAAAAAACTATGAAAACAATAGGAATTTCAACAACTAATGTAAAGGAAGCTTGTGACTAAATTTGAGTTGAAAAAATCAATGAACTGAATAAATTTGCATGCATTTCAGCAACATCCGCAATTTAAAATCAAGTTTGCAAAAATAGAATACTCACACTCAACAGAGATAACTCTAACTATAAGTATCGAAACCAAAATTGAAAATAAAGTGGGCAGAATCTGTATTTTGGAAATTAGATTTATACGCACCTTTACGAACGGCGAACGGATGAAGAAGGTGACAGTACGATGTGAATCCGGAGCGGACACTCTGAGCAGTCGAGCTCCAGTATAACGTCGGAACGGCAGGGGAGCAGTGAGGCGGTCGGTGGCAGGCTGCGGCTGCGACGGTCTAGGGTTCTCACTCCTTCAAGCTCGACGCAGTTTGTTTTTTTAATTATCAATTAATAAATAATTATGTTAAAAAAAAAAAATAGCTAGTAGGGGATGAATTCCCGCCCAAATGCGACATGTTTTTTGTTTCTTCTATCAATATAAGCAGGGTCATACTTCAATACCCTACTAATATTATTAGATAACTTTACTTACTTGATACTCCCTTCAATTTCTTTTATAAATAAATATTTTGATTTTTAATTTTATTGTATAATTGATTTTTTTTAAAAGTAAAATATATTATTAAGCTAAAAACGATTACAAACTACGACGATCAAACGATCCAGCAACTAACATAAATAAGTACACATAACAAGTCCATCAAAGCATCATAAGGAGGCTAACATGTTTCCTAAGATGAGGTTTTAACCCAATTTATTGCATAACACAATTTAAGATGTTGTCTACAACTTTATCTCTGTTACTAACATCACTAAAACAAATGGTATTCCTATGGATCCACACTGAGTAGACTTTATCTCTGTTACTAACATCACTAAAACAAATGGTATTCCTATGGATCCACATTGAGTAGACAGTTTCTATCACAACGCATTTGAGAGTCTCTAATCTCCAGCATTTGCCTTTGCACTTTCCAATAAGGCAAGGTAGCCCCTCTTCCCAATTATGCACACGATGAGGAACTTGTAGCCAATACAGGATAGCATTCTAAACCTGTCTTGTTTCCACATAGTAAAAAAAAGTGATGAATTGTTTCCTTCTCATTGCAAAAGCAACAAGTTTCATCATTGATCACACCTATTTTGATCAATCTATCCTTTGTTGCAAGTCTCTTGTGGCAGGCTAGACAAAGAGTATAGACAGCCCTAGGCCTAACATGATTAGTAATAGTAAGAACAAGTTTTCTCCAATTCACTCTAACATTCTGCTCCCTCATTGCTAAGTAGATGACTCTAGTGCTGAACTTTTCCTTATGCAACATATCATTCCACTTAGCAACTAGATTCAACATGTTTCTTTGATTCATGATGCCTTTTAAAATTCAAGAGCAAGAGTTTTTAATAAACACCTGTAGAATGTCTTGGTTCTTAGAATAATAGTTATGGATCCATTTGATCCATAAGCTATCCCTCTTACCACATAAATTCCATAAGAGTTTAGACATAGAAGCCTTATTCCAATCAACTATAGAAATAACATTGAGACCACCTTGAGATTTGGGCTGACAAATCTTGCTCCAAGATATAGGGGACTTTCTTGTAATGATATCACTATTAGACCAGAGAAAGGACCTACAAATAACCTTTACTTTTCTAATGCCAGCCTTAGGCATGAGAATACATTGAAGCCAATAATTAGAAGTAGCAAACACCACACTATTTATGAGTTGTAATCTACCTGCAAAACTAAGCAACTTAAAGCTCTAATGTTTAATTCTATTGGTGATGTTTTCCGCAAGAATTGGGCATTGACCAACCGAGAGCTTTTTGTTGATAAAGGAATGTCATACCTGAAAGGGAGACTGCCTTGAGAGAAACCAGTCAGCTGCATGATGTCGTTCTTGGTTGCTTCATCCACATTTCCAAAATACACCTTACATTTGCTAGGGTTAGTCAGACCTGTGCCAGAAGAGAAATCCTTAAAAGCCTCCATATACAGCTCCATAGAAATAACATCTCCCCTCACAAACAACAAGAGATCATCAACAAAACTCACATTAATAATGTTCAACTTTTCACACTTTGAGTGACATTTAAATTTTGGGTTCATTTTGAGTCTTTGAAACATTCTATGAAGGTAGTCCATCACAATCACAAAGAATAAGGGACTTAGTGACCTCATTATTAACTTTGTACTTATAGGACACAAATGTCACAATAGCCATAAACCACCTAATAAACTTAGGGGGAGTTCATTTCTTTTATAATGGTTTCAAGGGCACACAATTTCACCATGTCATAAGTCTTTTGAAGACCGATAATTGATATATATATATATATATATATATATATATATATATATATATATATATATATATATATATATATATATATATATATATATATATATATATATATATATATATATATATATATATATATATATATATATATATATATATATATATATTATTTATTAATTGAACTTAAAAATTAAAATTTATTTATAAAAGAGAATAAAGAAAGTATGTTTTGCATGTATTAATAGTTAATAATTATATAATTTATGATGTCATAAGTATAATTAACTTTTAATTCTATCCATATTCCTTATCTTCTTGATTAAAATTTCAATTTCACAGATTTTCTTATTTTCTTTGTTGTTTCATAATTTAGGATTTTTCTTTATTTTATTCATCTATAAAATTAGCTTTTGATAGCAAAAGTTTTATTTCTTAAAACTTTTTTCTTTATAGTGGTGCTTTGATATCATGCCCACTAGATTAAGAAGTTTTTATTGGTCTATGGTTAAGTTTCAGAAATTTGTTATGTATTCATAAGATTCAAAGCTGCGTGAGTTTGTCTATGACATTTTGGTAACTAATTTGTATATGTGAGTGGCATTTGACTATTTATAGGTGTGATTTAGATGTTTTTTTTATCATCAATTCACTTTTTTTCTATTGTTCTTTAGGAGTTATGTCAATTTTTGGTAATTTTAGATTGGACTTGAAGTAACCTTTGAAATTTTAGTTTTTCTTTATCATGATTGTTACGTAGTTATTTTCTTTTGTTTTTAATTATTGCAACATGTGAATCTTTACCAAAGGAGATTGTAACAACTTTTAATTATTCAAACAAGTATTTGAGTAATAAAGTTTACTTAAGATCTTATATCATTTGAGAATTCATTCTATCTAGCAATTAAGTTCATTCAACAAATATATTGTGTGAACTCTGCAGGAGTTTTGGTTCAAAATGTACAAGGAGGATAACATATTTGTTTAGTCTATTTGGTCATGTTTGAATATGTGTGAAGTTACTAGCTTTCAGTCACGGTTGGCTTATTATGTCTTTATGATTTTATCATACTATGGTATCTATTTTATCCTAAGTCCTAACTAAGTATTCTATATTTTGGAATTTCAAATGACAACTTATTACAGTTTGTGTTGATTTCTCGTTGAATTTCTTAGTTGATTCCAATGTGACTTGATTGTGATGCATGGTAGTTAGATCATTCCACTTCAGTCTATTTGGCAATATATGATTTTACTAATTATTTTTTGTGGTTGGCTTTGAATTCAAAACAGAGATATTGTTCTTTCAATAACTCTTCCAAGGCCTTCCAATACTATTTTTTGCTCCTCTTCCTTTATGGATGGACGCTTGATCCACCCATAGGACCCAAATCTGTGTCAATTAGGTCGTTGGGGACGAATAGTTCAACCACAAAGTTGAACAACACATGTGATTTAATGCTTCTAGGAAGGAAAGTGACTTCATACTATGAGAGTTCTACAGACCAGACCACACCACTATTCTCCCTGCAAGGTCAGATTTCTTTTTACACATATGTGATGGGATAATCCATCTTTACCAATACTGCCTTTAAAAATATGGTCCTATACATTCCGGTGTTGTGACCACAAAGCAAGACACCATATCTTCTAGTATCTTGTTTCTGCATCTCAAAAGATCTTAGTGACAAAACATATCAATCCTTCATCTCCGTTTACGTTTTGCACTATCATCAAGCTTAGGGCATAATCTGTAACACACAAATAAAGATCAAAGTTCTATTGTCCACAAAAAGTTCTCTCCTTTCGGAGTATTGTGAAGATGTGGAAAACCTTTCCATATTTTATTTTGGGTCCTCAACATTTTTCAATTGAATTAACTTTTGCTAAAAAAAATCCTATGAAGTCATTTACAAACAAATTTACTCTGCCAAATATAAGGAGAATCAAACAAAGACCAAATATATTCATATTCCAATCCTCTACACAATTAGAAGTTCGGACAAGCTTTAGTTTAATATGCATTATTTGCACATTTACACCAAAATAGATATTAAGATAATGACATTCCAAAACACCTCTTAATCATATATTACAACCACTTTTGCCATCAATTGTGCTCCACATGTGATTGCCAAGATTTCAAATTACAAATACATATGAATGACACATGAAGATTGCCTAATTTTTACTTGCAGTGTAGAAAAAAGGGACGTGTCTCCTTGTACTTCTCTAGACTTCTGGTCCAATTCGAGTTCATTGAATGACAGAGACAGTGAATGTCACACAGCTTGACTTGAAGCTGCAGAGCCTAACATGGTAGACTTTTGTTTTTCTCTGGATGTTATCTGTGGCTCTTGAAAAAACAAGGGAAAAGAAGGATAATATTAGCATAAAAAAATTTCATTATTTCCAAAAATACACCATTCTTAACAATCATTTCATCTTCTCTCTATCATAATGATTCATTTCAAGAGTCTCACATCTTATTATCTAGTTAACATGAACATATATTTTAAAAAATAAAACAATATTTAGGAGAGTCCTATGTTGCTTCTGAACTGTTATCTACATAATTAAAAACATGGTACAACAAGGGATAATGCGATTAAAGGATAGTCAGATCTTACTAGAAATGAGGGCCTTTGGTCTGGTCTTGAACAGAATCTTATGTCTAATGATTCCAACAACCTGTAACTCAACATCACTACAATTTTCTCCATCCATATGCTTTACTTTCTTGAGCACTAACAACGGCTTTTTCAAGAAAACCTTTGACCCTGTCAGTTCATGGTACCCAATAGTTAAAGTGTAGACTTCCTGAACAACAAAAGAATGGACACAATATTAGTTTTTTCGTCCTAATAAAATGCAAAGTGACAGTGGATTTCAATCACCCTAAAGATTATATCTAAAACTCTTACAAACTCTGATTCAATGCATTATAAGAAAACCCAGTTACACGTATTATTTAATATCAACCATTGATTTGAGATTGATCGACTCACATTACACTTACACCAAATCATCTCAAAATAATTTCACCATTAATTTGACATTGGACAATCAAGATAAAAAAAAAAACCATGTCATGCAGTTACTATATAGAATCCAAATATGAACTTGAGACAAAATTGATCTGCTTTTTTTCATTAGTAACATCAACCTAGAAATAATTTTTTCATTTTAATGCACAAAACACAGGACACTTGTGAAAATTTGTCTAATAATTCATAGTAAATTGTCTAAAACAAAAGGGATATATATTAATTGTAGGTTTAACATGATTAAACCAAGCAACTTTATCTTAGTAATCCATCAAGATTTTGCTCATATAAGAATTAAGAATATCAAAGTTTATACTCTTAATCATTATAATTATATTAAATTAGGAATCCAATAAACAACCAATAAAATGAATGATTTTTTCCATGTCAAAATAACACCCTCATTTGATAAAAAGCTAACCAAATTGACAATTTTTCAATCCATAATATTTTTAAAAAGTGAAATTACAATAAGTCTACATTGATAACAAATACTAATACACATTCAAATAAAAATTAACTTCAAACAATATGAGAACACATAACTATTTGCAAACAAACAATTAATAACCAATAATCATGATAGGGAACTAGATCATATTCGGAGGGATTAATTGGTACCTCTATAGCACTAGCACTAACACCTCCGGAAAAAAAAGGTGTGTTTGTGTCTTGTATGCAACTAACACCGACACTTGTGATTATGTTTAATTTATTATTTTTTCTAATAGTTATCAGAGTCGACGTATTCGTGTTTCCTGTGTCCGCGCTTCATAGATTAGTACTAAAAAGATGGAAAATAATATAGTAGTAACCTGAGAAGCCGGACGACAGAGAGTGCCAATTTGAAGGTTGGCGAGGGAACCCTGAAAACCAGGTTGTGGTTCAACAACTCCTTGCAGTTCAACAACGCCCCATTCCACGCAGTTTCCTTCACCGCAATTGCACTTAACACGAATCTGCATCTTTTGCCGTCTCTAAAATTTCTGAATCAGTATATCAATACAATTGAATGTTGATATTGCAGTAACTTAGTATGAATGAAAATTACAAAGTAAACAAATATAACTATCTATCTAAGCATTAAATGCAAAAATTGAAAAAGTTCGGAGAATCTGTATTTTGGAAGTTTGATTTATGCATACCTTTACTAACAATGAACGGCGGAAATAGATGATAGTGCGACGCGATAAGAAGCAGAGACGGATAGAGTGAGCAGCCGAGCCCCGTCAGAGCGGAGGATCGCCGGAGAATGAGGTCGGTGTACGGTCAGGGAAGCAGGCTGCGGCGGTCTAGGGTTTTCAGTTCTTCTTGCTGGAGGCGATTTTTTTTTTCAATTGTAAAAGAAAAAGTGGGAAACGAATTCCCGCCCAAATTGAGAGTGCGGGAATTATTATTACTTTTTGCACCATTTTTTAATTTGACTTAATTAGATTATGGATTTAATATAGAATTTTTTTAGGCTTAATTAGTTTCAAAGTCCTTTAACTTAATTTTAAATTTTACTTTAATTTCTTATTTAATAAATGTTACATTTTAGTCCTTTAAAAATTATTCCGCTAACCAAATTAATTATTTCCGTTAAGTGTTAAAAAAATCGTTAAATTTAGATGATGTGGCATAACAACGTGACAAAAATCAAAATAATGAGTCAGCAATTTTGATAAGGGACTAAATTAAAACCTTATATTTAGTTAAGGGACTGGCCTTAAATAATAACCAAATTGTGATTAAAGTGATCATAATAAAATTTCATAACATTTTATTAGACAATAATCTGTTGTTTAACATACCAGAATTTCATATCAACATAATCTTGAATTTAATGACATTAAGTTAGACTTTTGTTACATTATTTGATTCAAACCAAAGTCATTAAACTAAAATGACATGAAACATATTCCAAAATGACACAAGATATACACAGACACAACTATAAAATGTGTACACAAGCACCACTACAAATTTTGATCCTTTTTGAAGTCTTATTTTCTTCTTTGAAATTGACTGGGGTAAAAAGAGTGGTGGCGTATATTGAATTGACATTTCATACTTGGTAGACTCAATTTAGTTCCGACTTGGTAGTGTAAACTCAATTTGTTTTCGACTTGGTAGTGTAAACTCAATTTGTTTTAATCATCTTGACCTGTTCATAAGTTGAAAATATTATATCAACGGAAGTTCCTCTCTTAAGACAGTCTCATCAATTTGAATAATACCAATACTACCTTTTTCAATATCTTTTACTTCATCCTTGATAACCAAAGCAATTTGATAGCAAGTCTCAAATCTGCAAATAGAATGAGATATACATTTAGTAATGTCATTACTAGATAAATGTCACTAGATATATTTTACATGTAATTGTGTATTACTATGATAAATTGTATATGAATATCTAATTCAGTGGGTCATTCTCCATCAAATCCAGCCATAACGTGTCATTGTGAGATTTCTACATAATTTGCAATGTCATTTGCAATTGCACCGATACTAGACATTTATTAGCCTTGCTTAATTTAGAAAATGCATTCGACTTCCTCATGTTAATATCATCCTTGAGCCATTCTTCCATCAGAGTTCCTTTGCTAGCTGCTTAAGGGCATAAGATCATTGCATCAACAAATGCATTAAAGTGTCACCAACTCTATTTAATACCAAATATTTTATAGGAACAAATACCTCATAATGCGGTAAGAGACCAAAATATACGGAAAAAAAAAGATCATAAAACATTTGAATGTTAAAATATATTGCAATCAAAATATTTGTCAATAGTGTTAAACGAACCTGGTTTAACGTGCTACAGGACAATATGATGTAGTAAGTTAGTTGATTCTTTGAACTTCACAAAATGACAAGAGTGACTGAATAAATAAATTCATCAAAATTGAATAAATAAATTCTACAAAATTGAATCTAAGTGTAATCACATATATTATGATTTCAGTAACCTTGAATATTTTCAGTCACATGACCTAAAATCTAGAACTAAAATAATAAAGAATATCATCCAAATCTACAAATATCAAGGTTAGATCTTCGTAAGTTTCTTGAAGAGGTTGGCTATTCACAAGCTTACAGAGCCAAAACGAAAGTGTATAAATTAATCTCAAGGTTGAATCTTCATAAGTTTCTTGAAAAGGGAAGTGATTGTTGAGAATGATGGATCGGTGAAAAAATGGGTTAGGAATTGAAAAACCTGTTTGAGAGAGATGAGTTTCACATAGAGAAAGAAGGAAAAAATATAGTGATGGAAAAAATAAAAGGTTTTCACATAGAGAAAGAAGGAGAAGAGAGAATCAGGGTGAGAGCAAAGAGAGAGGTGTGTAACGGTTAGGTTTTTTTTGGAAGAGAGAAGAAGGTTGTTTCATATATTATAATACAATATTCCATGTCAATTAAAAATAAATCCAAGTCAGCAAAACTAATATTAACTAGAGTGTCATATCTGCACAGTTTAACAAATTTTGACAAAATTTAACGGAAAGGACCAACGTGATTAACGGAATTTGATTTAAGGAACTTAAAACAAACATTTATTAAATATGGGACGAAAGTGAAACCTCAAATTAAATTAAGGGACTAAAGAAGGCATTAAGCCAATTTTTTTTTACCAAAATAATCTAATTTTTCAAAAAAAAAAGTCTCAAAATATCTAACATTTTAAATTATTTCTCAAAGTACCTAGTTTGTGGTACTGATTACATGGTGGTGTCAGGTGAATTGACGACCATTCCCAAGGGCTTGAAGGGTGAGTTGTCTCCAATCCAATTGGCGCCTGATTCTAAAACTTATAAGGGAGTCGCCAATTGAGATGAAGACAGTCTTGAAAGTGAAATTTTTTCTATAAATAGAGGTGTTCTAATCATTTGGTTCCACAACTCATCTCATATCTTTGTTTTACTGATAGCATGTATCATTGCCGGTGGGAAAAAGTAGTATATTCGAGAGAGAAGCCTCTGATGGACATGCTGTTTTGGATCATTCAATATTTCAATCAACTTAAGAGGGAGTTGAATTGGTGGTTAGAAGGAGACATTGGTGAAAGGGGAAAATTTGAATTATCGAGAGACTTGATCGCCTAAGTGGATGGGTTCGCGTTAAGATTAACAAAGATGCGAGGGAAGTCATGTTTGTACCGAATGAAATTAGTTTGATTGTTGTAATCAGTTAAAAATGTTTTATGTTTCTTTTCCGTTATTTGTTTTATGTGTCATATGTGTTGTTTGTTGTTAGTTAACTGTATGTGTTCTTTGTCGTTAACATTGTTGTAACACAAACTCACTAATATATAAAAATATTAGTTTAAAACAATTGAAAGGATAAACTAAATCATGATGCAGAAGTTGCTCCGACATTGAGATAATTTTTCGCTTGTGTCCGGACTGACGACATATACTGCATAATCTTATCATTTTATCAATCGTATCCATTTCGGTCCTTATACGCTTGCTGTTTGGGCGTCCTTTTTTCTTTCTTCGCATCTGATCGTTGTGCCAAACTATATCCCTTTGGTATGAAGGCTAATATTCCTCCATTTGTAGCACTGGGAAGCCTTTGTTGTAGATATTCATAACATTAATCACCTTGTAGACATCAGATAGATGGTTATAAGCATCATGACGAGCATGTGCCTATGCCACAATGATATGTGAGCAAGGTACACGGAAGGCCTAGTACTAGCCAAAGTCACACTAACATTTGTTTAGTCTGACAACATAGGATAAATTTGGCCTCCCCTCATTATGGTCCACAGTTTCTTGTACATTAAAAGTTTTCCTATGACGGTCAAAGATTGTAACTACGTGTGTGTTGGCTTTGATATTATCCTCTTTCATCACATTCATTATGCTTTTATTGAATACTTGACCCAACATTAACACTGCACTCCATCTTTCACCTCTTGTTGCGAAAATTTATGCCAACCTATAATAGGTTGATCTCACTAAAGCGGTGATTGGAAGGTTTCTAATTCCTTTGAAGACCCTGTTCATGGATTCCACAATTTTTGTCGTCATGTGTCCCCAACGATATCCACCATCAAAAGCTCTTGTCCACTTTTCCAGTGGAATTTTATCCAACCATCTTCCTGCATCTGCGTTTGACATCCTAATTTCGTTAAGGTAGTATTGAAATGATGGTTGAGTTAAAGCATACCCGACATTCACAACTTTTTTGCGAAGGTTCTTGTCTTTGATTGCACGCATGAAGTTTTGTGCAATACGTCTAATGCAATATACATGGGTAGAAGGAAGATTATTCCACCCGTTATCGTGGTTATTGTAAGCACTCTCTATAGTAGCATGCCTATCTAAAATCGAACAGAGATTGCCTTATGGAGCGACATGTGTTCTGAGATTCTTAAGGAAGACACTCCAAGCAAAAGCGGTCTCACCCTCAACTAGAGCAAAGGTTATGGAAAAGACATTATTGTTGTCGTCTTGTGCAATAGTCATAAGCAAGATGCCCTTGTATTTTATGTAGAGTCATGTTCTATCAATTTGAATAATAGGTTTGTAGAATGCAAAACCTTTTATGCATGGTTGAAACGACTAAAAGAGACGGTGAATATGACATTCCCATCAACAATAGTTCCATCTGGTCTACATGCCAGAACTTTCTGCATGATTGCAACAATTCCCGGTGTGTATGTCTTAAATGCTACAATAAATCGCGGTAATTCTTTGTATGAATCCTCTCAGTTTCCAAATATCTGTTCAACAACCTTTGTCTTTACAATCCACGCCTTATTATACGAGGGAGTATAATTATACCGTGTAACAATATGAGAGATTATTATACTCACCTTCACTGATGGATCTTTGTTAACAAGCGAAAAAATGTCTTGACATGTCAATTATGCGCTTAGCTTTCGGTGATCCTGAATAATATTTGTGGCAGTGCAACTGTGAAATGGCTCTATGGAGACTATCTTCCAAGAATCACTTCTCTTTTTGTAAGA